GGAATCAATCCATCATCTCTTCCTTCAAAATATTGTTAATTTGGAGATATAAGAACTTGAATCAGGAGACATAATCTTATGCCAACCTAGCTTATGTAAGATTTGCCAATTGATTGCATACTATCTTTTGCACATTCACAGACCAAAATTGATTCCTAAACTCGGTCTGAAATTCCTCCCAACCACAAAATCCATCTTGGGCTCGATAACTTTGAACTCAATGTCGCCACCAAATGGCTGCTGCATCTTTCAAATAACTAGCTGCATATATGATTCTTTCAGTGGTATTTGCTCTAGATAGTTGGAAATATTGTTGCATGTTGAAAAGCCATTGACATATATCTTCTTGTCTTAAAGTTCTAGAGTATGTACTAGGCTTATTCAATTTCAATCTAATAGATGTCGACTCTCTTGTCCTTGAGGCTTCTAATTGTCCTGGCAAAGTAGCTATCTAACCTAAGAAGTATTGTATTTGAGCCTCCATCTGTGATTGCTCTATCATATCTCCCATATTATAATTTCTTTGTTGTATTATATTATTGTAATATCTTTTTACCTCTCATTTGATTTTTTTAAGAGTAGCTTGTAGAAGCCTCAACTTAATATCTAGTATAACCACATCAATTGATCTTCAACTAAATAATGACTATTGAAATGCTACCAAAAGTAAACAGTCTAACATCTTTTCTAATACCAATAAAATAGGGCTAGACTATCTCAAAAATCCCAGATCCTTCTAATCCACAATAACATAAGGCCTCATCACAAAATAAGACAAAATAAACCAAAACAAAAGTGAACGAAACTAAACAGAATAAGACATGAAAGACAAAACTAAGCAAAAATAAAAAAAGAAAAAAACAAAACAAATTTGAATAGAAAGATGCAAAATCAAACTTTACTAAGAAAAAGGGTTCGAAGCCATATCTAATTAAATGCTTAAAAAGGCCATAGCCAATCCTATTTATACCTTGTTCTACTACCTTGGACTTTTTAGAATGTTCCTAAGCGATAGGCCCCACCTAGATAACTACCTTAATTTATTTTTCTAAAAGGTTTTATGATGGGCCGCACTTAGATAACCACCCTAAAGATTTTTTAGAGGGTTCCATCGTAGATCCTACTTGGTCCACTAACCTAACCTCAATTCTAAAAACTTCTATGGTTTTAACTATCTTTATAATTAATTTATCTATATCCTATTATACTCTTATTTCAAAACCTAGATATTTTCTAATTATATTTTTAGATTAATAAAAAAAAATTATACACTTAGCACACTTAATTAATTAATCATTGTCAAATTTTGAACTATAAATGTGATACTAATTATATGAACTAGCTAAGAATACTAGTCCTAATTGTATTGCATAAAGTCCAAGTCACCGATACATACCTTGATTTTAAATAATAATTTCAATGTCATTTCAAATCCTATGAAAAAAAAATTATACCTTTGAAATGAACTTGAAACTAAGTCATGAATTCCAATTGCAAATCTTCAAATAAATCCCTATTTTTCTCTAGACAGTTGTTTTAGTGGCTAGAGGTCTGATTTCAATCATGTTCTTCAAATGGTTAGTCCTTGGATATCAATCCAACCTATTCTAGGAGTTTTTTAGCCCAATCCTATCTTGAACTTAACCTTAGTATCAATAATATTAATTATTTATCTCTTCTATCCTAATTTTATCAATTCATGGCCTTTTTAAGGTAGTAAAAGAAATTCTACAGTCTAGAAGATAAAATTATTAATCAACCTTTAATCTCCTAGCTATTAAGATAAGAAAATAAACTAAGAGGCTTTTATAAAATCCATGTTTAAATATCTTGAAATATTATTAAATTAAGATGATTAAATATTAATTAAAATTAATTTTTGATTATATTTTTATCATATAATTGTGTTATAACATAATAATGTCATAGTAACGTTGTTATATGGCATGATTTTCTATCTAAAAATATACTAGGTACTTAGTTTTAGAGGATTTAGCTTTAATTTATTAGCCGAGCTCCAATAATTGATTTATTTTTAATATAGAGGGCAAATAAAGGCAACAATTAGAAAAGAAATGCTACTATTAAAGAAATTTTATATTTAATAAGATTTATATTCAAGGCTTTTTAGAAAATCTTAAAATTTTCTAACATCCTTTGCTATACCAAATCGTAATTAATTATTTGCCGATAAGTTAGATTTTCAATATGTTCAAAGAAAATCCATAATCTCCTTTTAAAATTTCATATTTATATCATAATTTTATCATAGCTTCATGTATCCATCTTTAATATATATATATATATATATATATATATAGAAAGATTTGACTCCCAAAAATCCCTTTAATTTGCATAAAATGCCTAAATTATAGTAGAACTTAGTTAAAACATTTTTCTTCGACAAAGAATTTTTTTTCATCAAACTTTAGAATTTCATATCTCTTGATCTATTTTTTTTAACTTTTATCATATTTTCTATATAATTTAGTAAATATTCTAAATATTTATCTTAAAAAATAAATCCTATATCTATTGCCAATTATTTGGCATCTTAGAATTCCTAGCAAGTATTCTAAACCCTAATTTATAAGCACCCAAGAACTATTTTTGTCATATCTCAAAAATTCCAAATTCAAATCCCATAAAATTTTGTATGTAGCTTTACAATACAATAATATATATTTTAAAAAAAAATAGCCAAAGATTCGTATAAATATCCAAGTTATGGCTAGAATCGAATCTCTCATAAAATGATTCAGTAAAACAACCTCCATTTAAAAGAATTAAGTTTAAGTAGTTATTTCTCCTCTAAATCAACTTTAAATTCTTTATATTCTTTATGCAAAATGTAGCCTTTTAAACCAACTTTTCAATTACATTATCTGATCCTTAAAAGCTCTTCATACACATGGACTATAGTCCAAAGAGTGACAAAAGGAACAAAATCAATATCTTAACTTTGAGTGTGTATATCTCTTTTACAAAAACTTAAAAAAGTAACCTTAATCCCTAATAAGGCCTCAAGCAGCATCCTTGAAGTCTTGGGTATGACTTTTGGCCAATAAAAATAGGGATTTTCATTAACCATCTTCATTCTTCTAAAAAGTTAGCATAATTATTCTTTTTTATACAAAAATCCTTTTCTAATCTTTTTTCTAATAAATTTTACATTGTATATACTTTAAACACCAAATAAAGAAACAAAATAAGATTTCAAGAGTCACCAATGTCTTAAAGAGGTGGCTCTAAATATATAAAAACTACTATCAACATAAAATCAACCTCAATAATAGTCCTTTTAAACTAACTATTTTAAAGTAATAATCCAATTACATTTTGTAACCAACTAAAATCTAATAACATTGCTCTCACAAAATTATAGTAAATTATATATTAAATAAATATATGCATTGTTTTCACATAGTAGCCAAATCACAATATGATAATATTAATTGTATGAGTTTTTTATCTTAATAATGAGAGCTACATCTAGGATTTCTTCCAACCATTGCTATATTATGTATGTTCTTGCTTTAAAATGCACCAAATACCTAGCTGTGAAAGATAAGTAGAAATACAGCAACAATCCTACCAAGTCTAATAGAATCTCAAATAAATTTTAAATAAACCTTAATAATCCTAATTAAACTTTGATTAATTTGATATAAATTTAAAAGAAGTTATAAAAGAAACACAAAGAAGTCCTAAACTAATTTCAAAGAAAAATAACAAGAAATTATTAAAAAAAACATTAAAATAAACCTTTAAAAAAAATCTTTTAAAAATATAAAAATATAAAAATATATTAAAAATATCTAATTAAATTATAATTTAATCCTAATTAAAATCCTAATGAATCTTAACCAAATCTTAGGCCAAATACTAATTGAAATCCTAATTGAATCTTAATCAAATCTTAGATCAAATTTTAATTAAAATTCTAATTAAATCTTAATAAAATCTCAAATAAAATCTTTATAAAATAATAATAAATTCTAAATCCTAAATAAATCCTAAACCAAAGTCTAAGCAAATTTTAATCAAATTCTTAACAAATCTTTTAGCAGATTGAAATCTCAACAATTAATGATGAAATCAATATTTCAAATTTATAAACATATTTTTATTTCTTAAACCCTCATCTCACCAAGAACATTACTAACTTTAAAATCCCTCAAAATCTCAATATTGATTCAAATGGCATGAAATCAACGCTTAAAAATCTTTCTTCCAATCTGCTCTCAAATTCCACTCTTTGATCTATAAAAGATCTTCAAAGTTATTGAATGGACATGATTTTGTATCTTCAGGTGTGATTTTGATCCTAGTTGACAACTTGCCCTCTTCAGTTATCAATTTTTGGTAATTTGAGGTAAATTTTGCTTTAACCTATTATAAACTTTTTTTAAAACATGCTTATATTAATCTTATCTCATTTACTTTGATTTGGCTCATTTATATTTCTACAAAGTAAATAGAAGTCCTTACTATAAAAGATAGCATTAAAACTAAATTATTTACTACCTTTCTATCATTTATCCTTATTTTTCTACTACATCTTTCTATTAGGCTCTTCTATAATAACACCCATGTTTTTATTCTTCACTATATAATCATGTTACCATATGACACCATTGCAATACAATCATGGTTTCTATCATGTGCATATGATTCCAAACTTCCTATAGATGTAGCAAAGTCTTCTCAAAGAATATTTGTGATACTAGTTTTTTAAAATGGCAATGGAGATAGTTGGATATGTGATGTATTATTACCCCTTTTTTTATGGTTTTTATGGTTTATTTTTTATTTTTTTAATCAATTTTAGGTCTCAAAGGATCTTGTGTACATGTTGTATGAATGTTGATATATCTTGTTGTTCTGTCATTTGCAAACACTCACATTGATTTTACACCATCATAGTATTTGAAATTATGTTAGTTTGGAACATAGTACTCAGAATTTTCCACGCTTTGCTCAGATCTGAAATATCTAAGATGTTGAATCTCAAATTTGGGGAGATTGATAGTTGGAGCATTGCTTTACCACGTCTCTTTCTCCTTCGATCCAAGTCTACTGCATTGGGGATTCAATTGTCTTTAACGGGTCGACAACCTCTTCTCTTTTCAGGTTTGCTGCTACTGAGTTTGTTGAAGGTATGGATTCTATTAGATTCCATAAATCTTGTTGTTTGAAGATGCTCTGTATTGTAACTACCCAGTACTTGCAGTTGATAAGAGAAGTTAGCATTGTTTCTTTGGAACAGACAAACTCAAATGAACTCCTTGTGCTTGATCAATTTGTAAGAGCAATAGATCAAGTGATTTGGGAGTTCTTTTCATGGCCGGGATGAACCAGTGAACATATTCTGAGCATGCTTGCCTCTCGTGTTTCGCATGTGTGCAGACTAACAGCGCCCAGTACGATAATCTGTACTCGTTCGTGCACCTACTCCCCAACAACGACCTCTTCATCTTCGCCAACAAGGATAGCATCCTATTCAACTGGCAAACCCACACCATTGTGAAAAACGTCCCCACCTTGGCCGGCGGGCCTCGCAACTATCCTTCGGCCGGGAGCTCTGTCATGCTGCCACTCACGGCCGCCGACAACTACGAAGGCGTGGAGGTGCTGGTGTGCGGAGGAGCCGCGGAGGGAGCGTACAACAACCCAACTGCACAGTATGACGCCCTCAACACGTGCGGACGCATAAACCCTCTGGCCGGGACGCCAAGATGGGCGACGGAAACCATGCCCCAGCGGCGCACCATGGGTGACATGATCCTGGTCCCCACGGGTGGCGTGATCATCATCAACGGCGCCAGCAAGGGATCGCAGGGATGGGGCTTTGCCAGCGACCTCGTGTGTACGCCGGTGCTGTACAGCCCGAGAGCAGCCGTTGGGCGATGCCTCCAGACGCTGGCTGGGTCGGGCATCCCCCGCATGTGCAACTCCACCGCCAATCTGCTGGCGGACGGGCGCATTCTGGTGGCTGGCAGCAGCACCCACTGGTTCAACACTGTTAACGGCGAGTTCCCCACGGAGCTCACGATCGACCTCCTTATTTGGGCGGCGACAGGCCTGAGCTGGCCGTGGGCGGAGCGCTCGGGTACGGCGATGCATTCACGGCCACCGTGACCTATGGCGGGAACTTGAACTGCGGCAACATCGACCTCATGCTGGTCAGCGCACCTTTCGTTACGCACTCGTATGCCATGGTACGTGGTGCTCCGCGATTGTAAACCCCCAATGTGACCTCATGGCGGGCCTCGACGGATGGTCATGCAGTTTAAGGCGTGCCTGTTGCTCAATTCGTTAATGTCAGCGTGGGTGTGTGGGTGCGCGCTTGTGTGGGCGGGTTCATTAATGCAAGTTTGATGGAATTGGTGGCGAGCGGGTTGAGGCATTGCGCATGGAGTTGCTTAAGAGTGGGAGTGAAGAAAGGGGTGAGTCGGGATGGTGGGGGTCCGGATTGTGAGGTTGCTAGCGGTTAGCTGAATCTGACAAGGTTGTGCGTGGCGGTGCAGGGCCAGAGATTGCTGTGGTTGGGAGTGACGGCTCCAGCGGCCGCAGGTGCGGGCAAGTATACGGTGGATGCAACGGCACCGCCGAGCTCCACCATTGCGCCCGCAGGGTACTACATGTTATTCGCGGTTGCAAATGGCGTGCCCAGTTATGTCAGCTGGGGGATGGTGGGTCAAGAGTAGGCGAGAATGATTCACAGTCTTGGACAGCGCAGTAGCATCAGCTGCTGCAAAGTTGGGAAGGGAGAGCGGAAGGTGTGCGCACCGTTGGGGTGAAGCTGATGTGCGTGTGAGGCCGAGTGCACCCGGCGCCGTGAGTGAGGGATAGGTGCATTGCTGCGATCCGAGGAAGCAACACGAAGGAGTTGGATCTGAGGAAGTGGCGACGCTATAGATGTGAATGTAGGAAGTTGGGGCACTCAGTGTTTAGGGAGTGGCCGGTGTGAATAATTGGCATTGGATTCGTGAATCAGGCTGAGATGCGGAGTAGCGTGGATTTTAAGGGTAGTGAGTAGAATTGGACTGCGGAGCATTTTACGGGCGTTTTTATCATTTGGTGTTGCTTGGCAGGAAGCTGTTTGGAATGGGCCCATGAGGGTGGCCTATCAGTTGAGGTAGGGATTGAACGAAATGATTGAGATTTAAGAAAATCCGAGTGTTGGAGCACTGCAATGTTTCAGTAGTTGGTATCGGATTACTATGCATCAATGGTTTTGATGGGATTATAATGCTGCATTGATTGATATGGAATTGCAACGCTTCACTAGTTGGTATGAGCTTGGTTAATGAATAATTGTAGAGCGGAACAGAGAACACGACTGTGCCGAGTTGTTTTGTGTTAGTGAAAAGATGCTCTTGGGTTGGGAGTTTTTGCACCCCGTCAAGGAGATGGAGGCTTCCCTTTCTTACTGGATTGAGAGAGACCACAGGGTTCTAGTAGCTCCACACGCCATGGACGGTCTGGTTGGTAGGGTTATGGACAATTCTACTTTTGGATGGCGATGGTGAGACAATGTTATTTTCTTTATATTTCAATGGAATGCTTGGAGTGAGAGCCTGTCGGTGGGTGTGTTGGTTAGAAGGTTATTATTTCACAAAATGCTGAGATCTTTTAAACCGATGACTTTCTACCACACAACTACAATTTTGTTCTGAGTAGTGTTTCAAATTTAGGTTGAAAATAGTGTGTCAAGAAGACAAGACCGTTGTTGAGGTGAATGGTTTCTTACTTTTTGGTGTTTGATGTCGCTTTGGTATTGGTATTTCTTGACAAGGAGGTAGTATAGAAAGAGATATAGGAAGAAGCAATGCGAGGTTCATATCCTCTCCTCAATGGCTACATTGCGGAATAAACAAAAGATGAAACCCTAACGGAGTTTTGTAAGACATAGCCAGCAATCACCACCACCCTGTCCGCTACTTCCACTTGATCCGTAATCTTTACCCTTTCTATTCAATTTTCACTTGACCTTAGTTAACCCTTTAAACACCCTCTATAACACCAAACAGAACCGAAGTTCTGCAGCTCTTGTGAGGGATTGCGTTTAGAACTGTATCATTGGAAATCATGTCTCCAGCTTCGCTTCAATGAGACAAAATTAGGGCTATCAGTGATTCTACTCATTCAATGGTTTCCTGTCGTCCAGTTTGACCTGTTGTTCAGGATATCAGCGTCGAACCTTTGCTTCGAAGAGACACGGACAACAATGCTGTTAAGCAAATGCGTATTAGCAGTGCAAATGTATGGAATCGTATGGCGAACAAACGCTCCAACAGCTGCATCCTTTCCAGAATCTGAAGTCAGAAAGACCTTAAAGCAAAACCCTTGATTGAAATTGCCTCGCAAATGTACACCGACCTGAAGTTTCTGTCGAAATATGCGTCGGTCAAAGGAAACCAACCGGCTTGAGGAAAAGCCCGCGTGGCATGAAATGAGTCAACACTATAGCGTGACTTGTGACTAGGTTAAGGCTTTCAAGCCGAGGTGGACGCCACGTTCACTTGAAACGCGTGAGATCAAGACACCAGAATACCCAACCGCCGCCGAAGGTCGTTTCTCTCTGAGGCTTCACGTGAAAGTTGTAGAGTGGCAGCTGCTGGAACCTCTGCCCTGCTAGGGCTTTGTAGAATCACAGCAGAAGCGCCGTTGCTGTATCCGATGGGTTGTTAACCATGTCGTCGAAGCATGGCTGTATGCACTTGGCCTCATTTTGGGTATTTTGTGAGCAGATAAATCAGAATATGGGTCTCTTCATGAGCTTCAGCGGCATGCATAAGAACCTCGATCGAGAAAGAGAGTGCTGAGATTGAGGATGAGTAGGGGATGGAATTTTCGGATGTTGGGCTGAGACGAGGCCTTTCGGTGCCCGAGCGTACGACACTAATTCATAGTGTTGGCTATGTAGTGTACGAAGATTTGGCACTGAAAAATGGGAATACTTATACGACACGCCGTTGGAGACACCTCGTGGAGGGATAGCTGATTTTATGGATGTCCGCGTAGAGAGTTCCCATTCCAGTAATGGTGGCCGTGATGCTGTGTTGATATCGAAGGACACAATATGTAAGATTTATCTCTCTATTCAAGCCAATGTCAAAGCACGTACAATTAAACATATGAAGAAGATTCAGAAATGTGACTGCAGTTGCTTGAAGTTTCGCAAGATGCAATGTTTGGAGTCAGGTCTGAATTACATTGGAGGTTACTTGGACCGTAGCGTCTTTCGCTATTGATGCTTGTCGCTGTTGTATAGATGGCCACGCAAGCCTCTAGTCATATCTCGATGCGTTCTTTGAAATCCTTTCTGAGAATAATACGGGCCATGTGCATGATCCCCACGGCATGCGAGGTTGGGATGTATCTTGCGAAGAGGGCTGCACTAGTTGCTTGAAGTTTCGCAAGATGCAATGTTTGGAGGCAGGACTAGTGCAGCCCTCTTCGCGTAAATGATGTGGATAAATTTGGATATTGGATGGGTAGCTGCGTCACCGAAGCCCTTTAAATAAGACAGCAATCTGATAGACTGTGTGGAGACTAGTGTCAGGGTGATTAACCAAATTCGAGAAGGAAAGCTGGAAGAGTTCGACTACCTTCTGTCTAAAACAAGTGAGACTTTTGTCCGTGAATAAGTTGATTCGATTCAATCGGACTGAACAGAAATGGCAAGCTCCGACGGCATCCAAGGCAGCTTGCCACCATCTTTGTCAGGAATTCAGACCCCTCCAAACCAATCTTCCGGAAAACTGTCATCTGGATCTCCTGGCAGCGAGGATGAGCAAACGTTGTTTCAAAGGCAATTCTCGGAGATTAACCAGGACATCGATGTGGAGAAGGAAATAACGCAGTTTGTCAAGGAGTTGGATGCAAATGAGGGCAGGGAGGAGTTTGTGTTTACCACCAAAACATCCCAGTATGATGGGGAAGGTAGTGGCCAGTACCCAAAGAATTTGTTGTCAGCGCCCGGAATGAGCAGTGAATCTGATACAGAGGATCACACGCCCGCGTCGGCAAGCAACCACATTGTCGACAATGTCTCCTCCCTCAAGATGACTTACTATGCTTTCAAAGAGACGACAGGCCAGAAGAGTGGCATCCCTGTCTCATTGGTATGTGCTGTGCTGAACAACCTAAGACTCTGATGGACTGGAAAATTATTCGTGGAACCATTCGCAGAGATCAATCTTGCACAGTGCATTGTTTTCAAATTGTAAACGCAACATTTAGCATCAGGTATGTCGCTGAATTTCAACTCACAATAACTATGAGAACTCCTGATGCCATGGATCATGTTTGTGCAGCTAGCTGCGCATCTTGAAAGAAAAGAATCTCGTTACCCTTCATTCCTAGGATCTCGGTACAGAATATAAAGCTTATCTCAAGTAAAAGTAATTTTTCCGGCATTGTAAAACTGCGATTGTGCTGAGAAAATTTAAGCGTTGCTGATAACAATTGAATTCTGATGGGCATGTTAGAATGGTGTTCACACTGCAGAAGTAGCGTGAACATGACGGGAAACACTTCAACTGGAACGTTTAGAACAATGCAAAGGAGTCCCAGTAGGAGGACTTCCATGGAGATTACTTATCCTGCCCTCTCTCCCCAGGTACAGTGCATCACAATAGTAGCATGTGTTTGGATACATGCATCGTGAAGAGTTGAGCAGTGGTTTAAACCGCGATGTTGCCAAATTGGTGTAAAGGTGATGGAGGTTATCGACACCCTTGAATCTCACAAGAAGAAAGCCGAGAATGAAGGCAATTACATGGTAGCACGAGCTGCTGCTCAACGCCTTAACGGTGTCAAGGTATTCTAGAATAAAACTCATTCACCATCTACACCTTGTATGTTGGAGATACAGTTGTAATGCAGCCCCTTCAGAATCGTCATCTTGGTACGATTGCATCTGTTTGTAGGTGTTGGAAGACAACAAGAGGAAATCGCTCATGCTCCAAAGACATGGAAAAGAAAGAGAGGAATCCGAAAGAACATACAAACAAGAAACGGCTGAGAGGAACCGGGTATGTTATTTGAGATTTGTTGGAGACTTGACTGTGCCGGGTTTGTGTTCCAAAGGAATTGTGTAAACGAAGAGCAGCGTGAGATTGGCTTACGTGTAGTTTGCGATTCATTTGTGAGTTACTCTATTTCTGCTTGAGCAGCTCTGGGATGAGAAGTTGCATGAGTTCCACAAAGCTGTCGTAGAACACGCTGCAAAGTTGAAACGGCAACAAATTGGTGTTTTACAAGCCTTTAGACAACGAATGGCCAACAAAACCCCCACCAAACCTCAGTGGTCTCGGGAGCTTCTCAAACACAGGAAAGTGCAGGTAATACATGTCAAGTGGAACGTCACCAGTTTGTACGCAACTTGTGGATTCCAATTCAATGTTCTTCCGTCAATCCAAACTGGAGATATCAGAGTGTTCGACTCATCCTCGACTGTTGTTGTTGGTCATATAACCAAAGATGAAGTGATTTTTCTATGGCATGCTTGTGTAGACCTTTCTTGGGAAACAAGGAAAATATTTAGAGGCAGATGAAGTTAAACGTATTGCAGATAGGATGGAGCACACAGAGCTACAAGCCACACTTTCTGCGTACGCAGCCGAGGTAGCGCTGAAAGAACAAGCTCTTCGAAACAAGCAACAAAATGAGATGGAGGTATTGTTGCAACGGGCTGCTCAAGGGCGCGATGAACTTCGAAAGACGAGAAACATGGATCTCGACAGATGCACTCAGGTCGGATGCCTTGCTCCATTGTCACCGTAGCATCTAGTATTCCATGCAGAATACGACAATGCCGATGGATCCGTACACATCAATATCGAAGGAACTAACTCTTGTATACATTCCCTGACTCATAAGTTCTAACAGCAATTTGACTATTGACACTGCAGAGGCACAAGAATATTGTGAGAGAATTAAAAAACTTGCAAAAACAAGAACAATTGAGATTTGAACAGATTTTTGGGAAGCGGGTTAGTGAATTCAAGAGAAGCGGCGGAAGTCTTCAGTTACTCTCCGAAACTCTGAGTGGTTTGGACGCTTTGATGCTGCCAGGAATTGAAGCCCCTTGTCCTGAACGAGACGAGGTTGCGTCCTCGTGTAGTAGTGATTTACATGGTTCAGGTTGATGTAATGCCTCTAATTAATTTTGTGACTAATGTTCGACTCTTAGTATGGTGTCTCCGTTGTGCAGCCCTGATGCAAAATCTTTTGCACTTGAAAAGATCCCGATGTCTTTTGGGTGCTTTTGGAATTGTAGTTATTCCAATCATGTATATTACATGCACATTCAACAAGTCCAAAATGTCGTGTTGATTGCATTGGCTTACAAGAATGCAATCCCTTGCTCTGCCTTCCTTCTGGACTCCTATGTGTTTTGGGTTTTTCATTTCATTTTTATATCTTCAGAGTTTCATGGATATAAAAATCTTCAGAGGTAGATTTTATTTGCATGTATAGAGGAGCGAGAAAGGTTGAAATCGGTTTTTAAACAGTAATAAACAGTAGATTTCAAAATATTAAGCTCACTTTGTATATCTAATTTTTTATATTTGAATTTTTTTGTACATGATTATATTTTAAACATAGAAAAGTGAATTTTTATTGTAACAATGTGGTCCAAATATAACCAATTTAATTACAAAATTCTTCAGATAATTGGATTAATAAATAATTATCAAAAAGTTTAATGTGGATAATTTTGGTGTAACTTTAACATCTTGTGTTCGATTCATTTGTTCTATAGATAAAAAAAATAGAGATTACATGCAATAATTTACCAAATTGGTTGTATTTAAATTTTATTGTAGACACCAAATACTTTCCTTGTGATCATGATTGCTACAAAAAAAAAATTCAAATCAGATTTCTATCTTTTTTATTAATGTATGTACCAATAGCTATTAGCTTTTGAATTAATAAAAATTTCTCACTATATTAAAAATAAAAAGAAAAACATTATGGATGATACATAAATTACAAAGAAAGTCTATTATGCTAAAATTCAAACTAGTTATATAAATTAAGTTCAAGCTATGTAACCAAATTAGAGGTTTTAATCTTTATTTATTTTGATTTTAATAAATATGCATGTTTAATTGATGGATTGAATATAACTATTTAATCTAACTAACTCAACGAAGCATGATAACAATCATCATATAACCTTGAGTTTTCACATGCATCCAAACACATCAATCACATCACATCAGCAACATTCTACCGCCAGGAAGAATATCTTGGGGGTTTGAAAAGGTTGCACAAAGTTGAGACGACAGTGCAAAATCAAAGATTACCATTCAAAGAGAGATTACGAGGATCCCTGAGAAAAAGGGTGGGGAAGTTTGAAAGGAAGGAACAAAGCGCGAAATGTAAAAACGACGTGTTGATAATTTTGAAAGATAATCCCGCCACAACAGTACGTGCAAAAAGCCAAGGAAGGATATAAGGAGGGCCGTAGGGTACACGAAATCAGTAGCAGCAGGGATGAGGTAGGGGAGGAGAAATGGGGAAGAGAGGGCTGATAGAGTGGAAGAGGAGGAGGAGGAAATGGGGAGAGAGGCAGGGGAGATTGAACAAGACTTGATTAGTATTTATAATGTGTATGTTAGAAGCTTACAAATGGCACTCGTTAAATGTTACATTACTTCTGCTTTGTGATGAGATTGATATGTGAAATTAGAAGCGGCAAGCAGAGCGGACAAGCACCGGCACCGGAACCATCGTTTTGTAGTCTTAACGACTCCTCGAATAGGGCTTCGGAGGTCATCAACTCGTGGAGTGCCTCCTCCATGTAGGCCTGGTAAGGACCGAACAGACCTCCATCGATTGCATTCACAGTCTTCGTCTTCTATGAATGAGTTTTATTCTAGAATACCTTGACACCGTTAAGCGTTGAGCAGCAGCTCGTGCTACCATGTAATTGCCTTCATTCTCGGCTTTCTTCTTGTGAGATTCAAGGGTGTTGACAACCTCAACACCAACTTGGCAACGTCGTCCTGAAGAACATGTGCTTCATGACATGAAAGATTTCTTGGGAGTTCACAAGGCTGCAAGGAGAGAGAAAAACCAAACGAGGCTGAGTCTCTCCAAATGCGATCGGGGGAAAAGCTACTGAAAAACTAAGGCAATTCAGCCATCCTCCTAATCACCGACAATTCCAATCACTGTCTTCTTCAACTTCTAATTCTACTAAGAGATTACTATGACATCTTTTTCATCGTCCGCCCCGTTCGCCTCCACATCGATCTTATCGTCCTCGCCCTTAAGGCGAACCCCCAAGAAGAAATCTATGCCCCTGCGAAGCTCCGTCTGTCGCTACTCCCTTCGCCTCGCCCACCCGCCTGCGTGCCTGTAGCTCTAGATTCCTCGGATCTGGCCCATTACATTGCGCCTCTGACTTCGCAGCTGCAGCGGGCGTTGGTCTTGTTCAGTTCGTCGGGTGGAGTCTCGCGGAGTTTCCTCGGTTGAGCTGTTGTCCGCCGTGTTTTGGGCTATTCGTGTGAGTGTTTGGGATGAGAGCAATGGCGATCGGGTCGGTGCTGGGTTGTGTCGGGTTGCAGTTCTCCGCAGTGCCGACGTTTCATGGATCGGGGGTGGCGAGTCCGAAGATGAGGACGCAATGCAGAGCTTGGCGGAGAACTATGTCCATGTCGGTTCAGCAGCCGTCGAAACGGGTCCAGCGTGCAGAGACGTTGCTGCATGACTTCCGTCGGTCGTCCGCCACTCCCCTTCCTCTTCTGCACCTGGTGGCGGATGCTCTCGTGCACGAGATGTACGCTGGATTGGTCTCAGAAGGGGGGAGTGATCAGCTGAAGATGCTCCCAACGTACGTCGAGGAGTTGCCTTCTGGGTGCGTTGATTCTCCAATACCCTCGCTTCGTCGATTGCCCTTTCGTTGCGGTGGATGAGTCCGTTCCTGAGACCTCGATGCGCTCTGTTGCGGGAACAGGCACGCACTGCTTCGGAGTCTGTTTCTCTTTTCGTTGTGGCTTCGTCAATCAACATTCTGCCGCCAGGTTCAGGCGCCAAGTGTAAGAGTGGGAGATTGTGCGGACCAATTTGTAGACACTCCCACCCTCCTTACCACACAAAAACAGACTGCGTAGTTTGATTGAGCATGAATTACTGGGTTGGGAATGGTGTGCCAACACCGCAACACGAGGAACTTTGGGACAAGAGACCGTTCATCCCTTCCTGACGACGCTTGCTGCGGTTTTTTGACATTCTTGTGGATCTTTTTGAATCTTCGATTTCAGGAGTGAAAAGGGGCTGTTCTACGCCGTGGACTTGGGCGGGACAAACTTTCGCGTTCTAAGGGTGCAATTAGGCGGCCACACTGGTGAGATTTTGAGTCAGGAGTTCAAGGAGGTGGCCATACCTCCAGAGCTCATGGTGGGCACCGGCAAGGTGAAGCTTTAAACTCTAAAACATCTATTTCTAGAGTAGCATTCGGTAGAGGAATGTCCCATCGATTCTGAGGCGTTTTGAGAAGGGGGCGGATCAATATCTGATGGCGTTACATGGTGCAACAGGATCTTTTCGACTTCATTGCGGGTACGCTCGCGTCATTTGTCGACACCGAAGACGAGTCATTGAAAGCCCACTTTGCTCAGTCGGGCAAAGTCAGGGAATCCGGCTTCGCGTTCTCCTTTCCTGTTCGCCAGACGTCTGTCAAATCCGGCATTGTCATCCACTGGACCAAGGGCTTCAAAGTTGACGATGCGGTACGCTGCACGAGCAGGCCTTCATTCCCACGATTGTGCGCTTTCGCAGCGTTTCGTCGCATTCGATGAATGTTGGAGGGATCGATATTTGCATGTTTTTGCAACCATTTCCAAACGTGTGATCCGGTTTGTCGATTCGTTTATTTTCCATCTTCCGTCCGTGCTTGCGGATTTTGTGGACCAACTGCCGCGGAAGCTTGTGATCTGCGAAAGGATGCTCTTTCATATGGTTGGATTGACGGAGGGATTGGTTTTCTTGCAGGTGGGCAAAGATATCGTGAAACAGTTCCAGGATGCAATCAGCAGGAGTGGTCATCAGATTGCGATTTCAGCCCTGGTACCACCTCCTAACGTTTCCGCCGTTTACACAGAAAAAAGCTCATCAGATGTCCACGTTCTTAGTGTTCGATATTGAACTGTTACACACCGTTGTGGTGGTTGAGTTCAACTGCGAACAGGTTGGTCCCCATGTGCTTTGGTTCCCTGCTTTCGATTCCGAAGACCGTCATCAGTTGTCTTTCAGCTTTACCAGCGTCTCGTTTCAGGTTTAGCTTCATGTCGACCGAAACTGAAGGGGCTCTTCCGCAGGTGAACGACACCGTCGGTACCTTGGCCGGAGGCAGGTTCAACTTTGAGGAGGAGACCATGATTGGCTGCATCATTGGGACAGGCACGAACGCGTGCTACGTGGAACGTGCTGATAGTGTTCAAAAGTGGGCGGATCCACTGCCGAAATCAGGACAGATGGTAACCGCATCGCTTCAATGCTCAGTTTAGTGGATGCCTCAGTAGAACTTCAATCCACACAGATGCATTGAACTGCGTGGATCATCCGTGAGGTGGCCCTATGCGGGAAACATTTCTGACAGTCTGGTGAAACATGTCGCAGGTGATCAACATGGAATGGGGTAATTTTCATTCACCCTTCCTGCCACGCACATTTGCTGACGACATTGTTGACAAAGACAGCGTAAACCCTGGAGACCAGGTGCGAACTTTTACCAAACAGTTGAAGTGAGTGCACATGAGAGTTGTTTCACTCGGTGCCCATCATACATCCAAGAGCTGAATCCTTGGGTCCCTCTAATCTCCATGTGCAGTGGTTTGAGAAAATGATATCTGGGATGTACCTTGGCGAGATCGTGCGTCTCGTGCTTGCGAGGATGGCTGAAGAAGCGCAGTTGTTTGGTGGCAGCCCCCCCGCCAAGCTGTTGGAGAAACTCAGCCTCGGGTGATTGTTCCCTCTTCTTGCAACCTTTTGAAATCCTTCATCAAATCCTTCATCACATGGATCACATGTTCCTCAGGACGAAACACTTATCCCATCACGCATTGTTCTTGCAGCACCCCACATGTTTCGAAGATGCATGCTGACGCTTCACCGGATTTGCAAGTCGTTGCCGAAGTTCTGGAGGACGTCTACGGGGTGTGTGACCACTAACTCTCCTGGACCTAAAACTCGTTACAATCTGACACACTCCGAGAAATCGTAACACTAATTGCAGTGGTACCAATGCATTGGACTTCGTCTGCGCAGATCGAAACCACCACGCTCGAGGAGAGGAAGATTGTACGCGAGGTGTGTGACATCTTGGGCAAACGAGGAGGAAGGCTAGCTGCAGCAGGTCTTTACGGCATACTGAAGAAGATAGGCAGAACGGAGAGATCTCAGAACGGATTCCAACAAAAGAAGAAGACGGTGATTGCAATGGACGGAGGTCTGTTCGAGCATCACGAGCCTTACCGGGCCTACATGGAGGAGGCACTCCACGAGTTGATGGGCTCCGAAGCCCTTTACGAGGTGTCTTTAAGGCTGCAAAACGATGGGTCCGGTGTAGGTGCTGCGTTGCTTGCTGCTTCCCATTCACAATTTAAATAGATCACGTAGTAGTCATGTAACATTAAAGATTTTCTTTTTTTAGCTTTAGCATACACATTGTAAATACTCATCAAGTCTTGTTCAACCTGCCTTTGGAGATACTCAAGTGGTCTGTATGGATTGAATTGGCTTTTCAACTTGGTGATAGAACATCGTTGATGTTCATGAGGTTTGTCTTGGTTGGTTTGCTTTTTAACTTGGTTGATTGCATGCAATTCCTCTAGCAGATATGATCTTTATGACTAGGGTCGGTTGAGAAAGCTAGGTAAGTTAGTTGCATCTAGTTTATATGTTTTAGCTATTGTTGAGTATTTGTAAACAAATTACAAAAGTTCATGATTATGATGATTTGGAAAATACATGTTTTTATTATTATTTTTTTTGAATCACTGTTTGTTTGTTTTTTTTTGTATTTGTTTTTTGTTTTGTAGATTTTAGAATCTATTAAATGGTTCAAGGTTTTTATTTTTTATTTTTTATTTTATTTATATTTTTACATGTTAGAGCAAACAGTTTTAGAATTTTGTTGTGCTTATTGTGAAATAGATATTGTAAGGATTTGTTTGAATGATGACTAGTTTTTATTAGTTTTTTATATTGGTGAAGTTTATTTTACATGACACAATAGTATTATTATTGTGCATTTTTTTTTTTTTTTTTTTTTTTTGTTCTTCTTTTGGCAGTAATAATTCTCACCCAAATCTATAACAAATATATTTAAGCTCTTAGTTTTTTAATTAACATGAGTGATTTTAGTTCCTATTTCTTGTCCAATTGTGATCATTCAAATCTTGTTACTTAAAAAAAGGTCTATTTAGTGACAAAATGAGATTTATTATGTGCATCTTATTATCTAGTTACAATCTAACATACTTGGATGTTTTGATAATCAAAGAATCATCTTAAGAGTTTTTAGTTGTATTGCTATATTTATCTTTATTACCTTTTCATGCATCTTTTAAGAAAGTAGTTTGGTTGTGTTTAAGTTGTCTTGGTGCTTTTGCAGTAAATGTATCATTTTATTAAAATCAATGACATAAATATAAATATATGTGTGTGTGTGTGTGTGTGTATGTATATTTTTTTAATTTTTAGAGAAAATTAATATTAATTTACCTGTTGGGATGAAATATCTGCTCCAGGTGGACTTTAACCTTTTTTGCTTTGGAAGCTGGAAACACTGCCAGCTCTCATTGCTCGAGTGGAGCCCTCTCACCATTCGCCACTGTTCGTCATAATGTTTTCTCCGCCCCTTCAATGCCCTGCTTTTTCCTCCATTTCATTCAATTATTCAGTCATGTTTGTTTGAAGTCATTTTTATTGCAGACGCAAATTTTAGTATTTTAGTGGATGATATTTGATAAAATTTCTTTATTTTATTATTATTATTATTATTATTATTTTTGAAAGAATATGAAGTGAAATCAAGTGTATTTTTTAGGTGAATTATAACATTAACATTAACCTTTTAAATTGGAGTTGCACATGTACTTGTTTGGAGAAAAATATTTATTTTGGTAGTGTTTATTTTACTAAACATGGAAAGGTTGCAGCTACAATTGCCACTACCATTACAGAGTCTTGTATGCTCGTAAATTACAATAAAAAGCTTCAATCTTAATTTAAGTTATGGAACTGAAGCAACATTTTGTATTTATGGTGTTTGTTTAAAGTAGGGATAAATTTTTAATCAATAAATTATATATTTTTTTATTTAAATGTATATATATACTATAAATTTATATTATTTTATTTATATATTTAATAATAGATTTTTTTAAAATGCGATAATTAACACACATTTTAAATAACTCATAGTTTAGTTGAGTGTTATTGTTGTGAATAAATGTCCTTTATGATACAATAAAACTAGTCTTCTGCATCAAATAGTAGAAAGTAAAATTGACCTATTAATTAACAAAGTGTAATAGTAAAAAAATTATTTTATAAAATACTTAGTATTTTTTGATAAAATACAATTAGAATATTTTGTTAGTATTTTATAGGAAAATGCACATATATACATATGAAAAATTTCTATTTGTTCTATAACATACTTTAATTATCAACTTATATGCATAGTTAAATATTATTTTTTAATTATACATAATTCTAATATTTTTAATTTTTAATACTTTTATCCATAAGTTATTAAGAAGTAATAAAGTAATAAAATTATATTTTTACCATTTTGTAAATTGTATATGAAAGTAAATTAAACTAAACATATGAGTTTTCTGAATATTATAAAATTTTAAAATTATTTTGACATCAATTTATATTTATATATATATACACATATATATATATATACAGTAAATAATCATTGAAAAAAATTAGATCTCAAAATAATGCCATAAATATGTAGTTAAACTTTAGTTGAATATTTTGTAAAGTAATACATACTTATTTGTTTATTTGAATGTCAAAATCATCTCTTAGTTTAGAATTTATTTATACATGTTAATTCTCTAATATTATCATATATTGAATAAGATTTGAAAAAATACATATAAATTATTATAATTTAAACTTCTATATGTATATATATATATATATATATATATATATAAGAAAAAATTAATAATTTATTAAGTATATGATTTAATTTATAATTTTTATATAATTATTAAAAAATAAAATTCTGAAATATATTAAAATAAAGTATAAATCTGACATCTTTTGAATAATAATGGTATTTAACATTGCTCTAGAATAATAAGTCAATATGTCAATTATTCAAAAAATACCTGTAGACTTATAAATCATAAGTAATTCTTAATATTCTTAAAGAAATCTAAACAAATCCTAATAAATCTCTTAATTTCTCAAAAAAAATCATTAATAAACCATAATTAATCTTCAATCAAATCTAATTAAAGTAGAATAGCTATTGCTAAAAATAAGAAAATTAGAGGCTCTTGAAATACAACTAGGGGCAAAAAAAGAAAAAAAGAAAAAAAAAAAAAAAAAAAAAAAAACATAGACAAGAATAAAGAAGGCTTTGCTATTGCTTCTATATATACTATCTAATTAAGAATTACATAGCAACATTTAGTAGGACCTTCAACACATATCCAACTTATGAAACATGTATCTAACTTAAAAGACAAGTATCTTATATGTGCAATACATTAGGAAGTAGAATCTTTTTTTACAAAAAAATAGTATTAGTACTTGCTAATTATATTACTTCTTTAATAATTATCAATAATTTTAAGATAATATTTTTTATAATACAATATTTTTATTATTATTATTCAATAACTATGTTATAATACAATATCATTCAATTAAATTTAATTACATAAAACACATCTCTAAAACAATTATATTTACAAATTTATACATTTATATGCCTTAAATTGCTACAAAGTACATAAAAAAAATTAATTTTAAATATTTTTTATTCTACAAAAAAACAAAGTCATTCTAAATAACCATAACTTTGCAAAGCTCTCACAAAGTTAGGATTTACTTAAATCATTCAAAACCAATGCTTAAAAAAAACCTATGAAGTTTGCTCTACAACCTTATTATCTTATCATTAGATAAAGACCAGACTTGCTATAGGCATGCAATTTTGTGCTTTAGAATTTCATTTTATTTCAAGTTTGTAACTAATTTCATTTAAGTATTAATCTAGGTTTTTTTAGATAATATTTATTAAAAGCTATTATTTACTTTTATCTATAGTTTCTTGTAATAATATTCCTTGTAATATATTTTATTTTTATTTTTATTTATAAACCTACAAAATAAATAGAAGTTATTTTTTATAAAAAGATAGCTGTAATAATAAATATATTTCTATCTCTTTATCTTTTATTTATAGTTTTTAAAATAATTTATTAATATATTTTTAATTAAGATCTTCTATAATATAATCTTTTTTTTTCCTTCATCTAATAGCCATGTTACAATACAATCTTAATGTACTTTAAGTAGGTGAAATTTAATAAAATTAGAAATTAATAATAAAACTTTTATATTTTCAAATTACAAATACTTTTGGCATATTAGTACTTTATATTAAGAAAGAAATTGACTTAGGCATTGTTGTCCTAAAGCTCCTATTGGCAAGCCTTGGTTATTTTGAAATGTAAGATTATTAGCATAAGTGACATGTTCATTAATGAAAGAAAACAACTTTCAAAATCTTCTTATTATTAGGGCACCAATACCTTGTATATATTGTTTATAATGGAATAAAGAGATTCAATTATTTTTAGTGCCATCATATAAATACTTTAAGTATCTTGTGACATGATTATTATACAAAAAAATTCAACTAATTTATTTTATTTTCTTACATCGATCTTGTATTATAAACTATACAATGTTTTATTATAATACAGCTAATAAATGAAAGAAAGAAAATAAAATTATATTATAGAAGATCTTATTTTAAAATATAGTAGAAAATTACTTAAGAATCATAGATAATAGTCAAGGAGGTAGTAAAATTAATAAGTGCTACTATTGCATTTTTATATAATAGATTTTTACTTACTTTGTAGGACCATAAGCTTTAAAATATATATATATATATATATATATATATATATTAGAAAAATTGGTATCATAAAAATCTTAAGGTAGAAGTAAATAGTAGCTTCTAATAAAAATTACCTAAAAAAACTATATGACGATACTTGGAAAGAACCAGTTATGGATATGGATTAAAATTAATTTCCAAGGCACAAAACTACACACTTGTTGCAAATCTAGAATTTTTTTTGTTGATCAAAGAATAAGATCAAAGAGCAAACCTGTTGGAGTATGGTTGAGCATTGAATTTAAGTGATTTAGATTAATATTAAATTTTTAAGAATTTTTCAAAAAAAAAATATTTTCTTAGGATTTGTTAAGATTATATTATATTTTTAAAAAAATTTTGACTAATCTTTCATTAAGATTTTTAGAGAATATTTGAGATTTCATTAGAATTTTTTAAGACTTATTTAAGAATGTTTTGGAATTTATTTAAGAATTATTTATGATATTTTTATTATTTTTTTTATATTTTTTATGAATTATACAATATTTATTTAAATATTTATTTTAGATTTTTTAGAATATGATTAAGATTTAACTATAATTATTGAAATTTAATTAAAATTTATTGAAAATTTCATTAGAATTGCTAGATTATTTGTTTGT